TAACACCTCGTCGGTTATTTTCTGATGAAATCTAGAAATATTTATCTCAAGTTTTCAGAGAGCAAAGATCTCTGTTTATTACTTCCTAGCGATATTACGAATTATTTATGTTTTCCTTTACTGAAAATGAGTTAAATCACATAGAAGATTCGTTCAAAACTATCAAAGGGAGTAAAATAAAGACATCTGAGCACCGCAGAGGCACTAGCCATCCAAAAGCTGAAACCCACACTATGTATCCAAAAGAGATACGCCTAACCCTTTTCCTTGCCATTACCATCATAAACAGCTAATACCTTTTGTAGTGAGTATCCCATTTCCTTTCTTATCGAGATTTGCTGTTTATTCGTGCTATTTTTAAGTTTTCCTGATTCTAATTTACTCTACCATATTTTCACATCCGATCTTCATATCTATTTTGTCGTTTTATTCTTTCTACATATTTAATCTCCGATTGCATAAAAAGTTAGTTGTCACATTAGCTATGATCCCACTAATATTTTTATCCAAACATCCTATCTGTTTTTTCTATTTCCAAATTTCTAACCCATAATTGCACAACACGTCAGTCTTCTAAGTAATTATGATGCTACTTCACTTAAGTATTATTCGTCCTCCCTGTTTATGAGAGCTTTATAATTCCTAATTGTGATTTTATTAAATTGACCCTTGACTGGAACTTATTCTGGAACTAACCCACCCGTTTATGATTAAAACACGAATGTAAAATCTAGTTGATGATTTAGTTTAAAAGAAAATTTTCTTCATGGCAACTGTCTTTTTATTATTCGCTATGATCAAATGTTTATATTCCGTGAAATAATAATATTTCACAAATCACCTTTGACTGATAGATATTATGTTGTGTTCCATTTTGCTGAATGAATTAAGGGACTTTGTTATGCACTTATAACAATAAAAGTAGAAATATTTGTATTGTGTTTTCTGATGTGGAAAACAAAATTTATGGTTTTGGCTTTGTGTACTTTATCACTCTGGATTTATTCGGCAAACTCGTGAAGTTTGGCACCGTGAACAATTTTATACTTTGTGCTGCAAAATTAATCAGTTTGTTTGTTAGTAAATGTAATTTCTTGTGTATGACTTCTGATAAGAAACACGAATTGAACAAGTCATTTATCTAATGGAGAGAAGGTGCGAAGTCCAACAGTAGATAAATTGAATTAAATAAACCTGATTGATGCTCACATCAGTGTATTTTTTAATTACACAAAGTTTAACCTGAAACAAACACAGGAGAGTATGAAGAATGAAGTGATTGTGCGTAATCAAGACTGTACTACCCTACCACCTGACATAGTGAGTACTGAATGATCATCAAATAGTTTTAATTGATGCCTTGTACATGGATCCATTCATGTTACCGGGTTTCGCTGCCTGTTTCCATGTGAATTTATATTTTTATGCAAGTTTCTCCTTAGGTATTTTTGGGAACAACAACTGCTGCACGAAGCTGTCTTCAAAAGGTAGGCGTGTTTGTGTATTTACAGTGTAACATGTAATCAAATCAAGTACATAATTTTTACGTATTCAATGGTTTTGGTGACGGTGATCACTACGACCTGTGTTGCAACTATGTAGGTCTCTACTGTAATTGTTTTACTACAAACCTTTGATTTTAGTGAAGCACTTCGACATCTGTACGACGCTTTTTACATACCACTGGTTTTTTCGTGAGTTATTTGATGTAAATCATAACATGTGTCTTTATGATGGTGAAACATTAGTTTTTGGATAGTTTTATGTAGATTATTGTGATAAGCTTCTTAAAAGTGGTGACTGGCGGTTGAACCTGTGATTTGAATTTCTCTCTATTTGGAACTGATAGGCTGGATATAACTGCATTCTCACTGATTACTGGTGTTTCCTCTAACCCTTGAACCAAGCGGCGATCGCTTTCACATGATAGACACTTCTTTTGTCATGGCTATCAATCAAAATTTGTTCGATGCATGCTTGTATTATCTGTTGATTGAGACAGTTGGACTGAAATATTTGATCAGTGTTGACCTGTCAGCTTGTTGAAGCATGTTTCGTCAGTGACAAAAGATAAACATGTTATTCGGTGAGTGGTGGATTGAAAATAAGGGCTACGGTCGAATGTGATCACCCAACGGTGCCTGCAAAATTATTTTCAACTAGCAAACAGTTCCTTGAGTTTAATTTTCAGCTGAATGGAGTATCCTAAGTTGTTTTGTTATTATTCCATATACATGTACAACTGGAAGTAGGTGGAACAAATTTTGCTTCGATTGAAACAGCACTGCTTTGATGACTGAACGCTAGTTATCGCCAACAGCGTTTTTATTTTTCTCTGAAAGGTTGATGCATCATGTTGTTGATTTTCTATAACTTCCTATTTCTTTTATTTTGCTTTTTCAGTGTACTCGGTGCAACCTTCTTGTTAGTGCTTTCCATTAATGAGAAAGTTAGAGAGACTTTCCCACTTAATGACGTACTGATCTCACTTTCGGTGAGTTTATCTTGTTTCATGACAATGCATGTTTGTTTCTTTCAAATCCCTGACAATTTCGCAAAATAATCTTTATAGATCAATGGCTGCTTAGCACATTTGTACAGGCTGATTCGTCACAGATTAGTGACATCTTTGACTCGAACGACGCAAAAATCCGACAATACTTTTGTGCTGACTACAGACTTCATTGAACATTATGTTGACAAGAAATGTTTTGTGTGTGACACGATTAATCTGCTTGTCATGCGTAAAATTCATTTTACACTGCTGTGACTGAGGAAGACATACCTGTTGAGGGATTACATATTGATGATAGACAAATCAATGTGTGCAGCTGACCAGGTCGGGAATTCTCAAAAGCTCTAGGCTACTGAGATATCATGCTTCACTACGTGCCTGTTCAATACACGTATGCGACAGAGTTCAAAATATGAGAGTGAGTCAAATGTAGTAAATATTGTTTCAAATATGTTGATCACTCTAGTTCATAAATAGGGATGTGTGGTCGTCACGCTCAATCCCGGCAACAAGTATTGCAAAGCAAGCTACATAACCTGTTAACATCACGCCACCTTGGTTACATTTTGGCTCAATTGCATTACATTTTATTAAGATACGCCAACTGCATAATATTTCTTGAGTCAGTGCCTAGTTGAGTATTAAGGTGGGGACTAGCGTGACGTGATCAACGTGTTATCTGAAGGGTGTTCAATTTGACTAAATTGCCTTCCAAGAAAATTCGTGTACTGTCGATTCCGTCATAAAATCCCTCATATTTTCCGATTGATCCATCCAGTTTTCAAATGCAAACTGATCACACTTTTATTAGTTTGTAAGAATATATTATGCTCCATCCTCTTTCCATCCGAATAATAGACAAACTAATGATGAGTACCACAATATCACTTTACCCACTTTTATACGTATTTCTTAAAGTTGATATTTCAAGATAAACGTACTTACGATTTCGTAACTCAGTATAATCCATGCATGTTTTAGGTCTTATCATGGTCTATTGCATTACCTGTTGTCACCAAATCCGTGGGATTTTCTATTTTTTCACCATGGGGAATAACAATCACTGTAGCTGTGATGGCTCTGATAATCGGATACAAAACTGTGAAACGGAGCGCGAAAGTGAGCTTCATATTATTGGGCGTCGCTGGTGGAATCACAGTGTTGGGTATCATTCTGTTAATTGCTTTAAGACTTACTAAGCGAGAAGTAAGTAGCTTGTTATTCGATGAAGAAGTTACTTGTCTAGTGATTGAAGCATGTAGTTGAAATAATGCCGATAAATTACTGTTTCTTGTGTAATTGGTCGTTTATTGTGCAGGACAGTTTCGTAGAACATACATCAACAACGTCGAACACACCACTGCATTGTAGCAGAATTGTTCATCGGTCAAGTTTCATTCAGTAATCAAACGACATATCAACTATGAGTGGAAGCTTCGATTTGCACAATACATTTCTCCTATGCTTCTCATATCTTCATTTCGAGTTTCCCACAGTGCTTCACAGTTTTGTTCATTTCTCTCATTTGCAAATCGATCTGCGCCTGTATGATTCAAGATTCATGGAGAAGATGTGAATTGACTTATCACTTTCAAATTCTCACTTGCTAATGCCACATAATTTTTCGTATACATGAACTATACGGATGAAAAACACATAGGAAATCACTGCTTGCATCAACCATCTATTACACTTCAGTAATTTGAATTCTGACCGATTTCAGCCACCTTGACGTGGTATTGAATCTTCCATATCTAAATGACACAGCAAGCTGCACTGTTTGTGATTAGTGTTGCTGCAGGTCGGGCCATGACACAAAAGTTGTTTCGATGGCGGTAAGACTAACAAAGTTATCGCCATAGCGTAAATTGTGCACACTGTGTTCAATGTCTTTAGGTGAATTTGTAGTAATACAGAGTCAGATTCTAATATCAATATGGCGTGTCCTTCAGATGATGATGAGATCAGCTCCTCTCACTCTTCAGCCTGTAAAGTTTGAAGTCGCTGAGTTCGATCCTGGGTATTGGGCATCTGACAAATCCTGCGGTGGTCAACAGCCAGTGGAACGACAGTCAAGTAATTTAGGCGTTTAGCTTATGTGCTTCACCAAGTGTTACCACACTTGTCAAGTCTGTGGTAAGAACTGAATTCTAAATATTATTGTTACAACCTCATCAAATCACTAACAGGCCAACTGCAGAGAGTACATTCTAAGTGATATTGACTCATTGAAGGGGCTACTGACGATAGCCTGCAAGTCGATAACCACCAAACACTGCACATATTATGCAGTCAAGCACTGGATGACATTGAACACAAATAAAGAGTAGGAAATAAGAAACTAAAAGTACTCGTTTGATATTAAAGACAAATCATCGATGTATTATTGGTCCATATTACTTTCTATCTCTTATTTGCAGCTAATTGCAGGTATTCTGTTTGGCATATTTTTGGCTTTCGCTGTACTCATAGTAAGTCAGGTGGTGAATTTTTAAAATATTCATGAGCTTACTATGTTATATATATATATAATTATATTACATGGCATCACTACTTATTCGTTGTTATTACACTGATATATCCTCAATTCACTGCTGAGAATTGACGTGAGCATTGCTTTGCATTTGTGTTAGTGTTTCTTGATTTCGTGTTTATAATAGAATTTTAGCAGTAATAACAATAATAAAATTGAACTAACATAATATCAAGGAACAGCCGAATTATAGTAGGCACTTTACTCTGGTCACCGTAGGGCGAGAGAATATGTGTATTGCTTTTGAATGAATATATATTCAGGACTCTTTGTGAGACTATGAAGCATCGATGCGGAAATGCTCGATGAGAGGAGATGACAAGTTGTTCGAGGATAGAGCTGCTACTGTCATGTCATTTATGTATTACCGTGTTGTCCATGAATTACGCAATCTTATAATTTGAGTACCTCGAATTATTACTGCTACTCATGCACTCCACTTTACATTTTATCTGAGAAACTTCGTCCACATCGCTCATATGAATACAGTAATCTACTATTCCGAGGTGATTTCATTTTCCAAACACCATATGTTGAAAATACGTTGATTTCTGAATCTTGCTTCAGTTTGAGAAAGTCATGTGAATTAACTGAATAATCTCTCAACAGGAAGACCATAAGTCGAATCAATATATGTGCGAAACTTGGGGACAGTGATTTTAACATTTCGAAGTAAACGACAGTCTTGTTGAAGCGATCATTCATATAACTTCCAATGTTTTTATATTTTCTCTGTAATAGGTGTTATATCTCACCGGACAAGGTATAAAGCGTTGCAACAATGAAGCAACGAGGACTCTCCTACCAAGTGGATTAGCTCTGATTACTTGGGCAGAAATTGTTTATTTATTCGTATCCATAGCTGTTATGTTTATATAAGGCAAAATAACGGAACTGTATTTAATTGAAGAATGATTTCCTCCTACTTTGGAACAGCAAAGTGATTCATGCATGAAAAACATTCAACTCTTTTTCTCTCTTGTTGGCTCTGTTGTCAAAATGAATTTTACTTGAAATACATTTTGCAGTGTTGTATTTTATGTTTTCTATTAACAGGTGAATACATTTTACTCATGTGTTGGACAGTGAGACACTACCTACTACGTCTCATAGTGTGAGAACGTTTTATCTTGAGATGAGGGGAGTGATAAACAACTCAAAATTTATTTTCTTCTTTTTACTAACTGTTAAATATCAGGTATAAATAAATTAACGATGAGTTAGTTCACAAAGATTGCACGTTTTAAATGTTTATCAACTATTATCATAAGAATGTTTATAATTATAATTATGGTTATGTTTCAATAGTTTACACACAATGATAAGTTTTAATATTGGTAATTGTGGTAATTTACCAATAACAGAACTTATCATTTTGTGTGAACTATTGATTTATGATTATACTTTATTTGATTTAATCCATAATGCTCAAGCTTTTTACTGATATTAAGTTTATAATGAATTCGCTACCTGCAACTTTTGAGAATTTACCAATAGTAATTTTGCACACAAATACAGATTAAGGTTTCCATTGATCTAACTCAACCAAAACAGTTCTCATTTGACTAAACATTGTGTGTATTCAGTTATGAATGTTTTGTCTGTTAATTCTTACAGGTGTACACAAAGTCTCTTCATCTTCTCTCAGACTGTGTTATTGTGAGTATACTGCACTGTGTGACTGTAATCTTCCTTTCTTTTCAGTTGGCTTTTCTGTCATGATGCTTAAGGAGACATTTTCCACTGTGCATTGAAGTCCGCTTCCGCTGTTGTTGAAATCATGATAGTTATAGCTTCAGGCTGGTCGTGGTTGACATCCGACTGACTAACCCTTTAGTTGAGAAACTGGATGATCCACTCACATTCAACCTTCTCACACATATTCCCAAAATATCTGTCTCCTCATATATCTCTGCAACCTGTCTGGTACAACTAGCTGGCAACAAGAAGCTTACATACTATTTTCAGTTGCTTACTTTAGCTTGCATCAGGAGAATGTTAATCAGTCGACCGAATTTGCAAAATATTCAACCTTGTTCTACTATCTATCCTCAAACTTACATGTCATCCCCTCCTCACTGAACGATAAGATTATTTTCTGATTCGTCCGGAGATTTTATTATTATTTCCTTTAGTTCCTAGAGGAACATAGGGCTTCAGCCATGCGTGTCCATTGCGTTCGGTTCTCTGCTAGAGTTTTCACCTGGCTCCAGGTCTGCCCACATGCTTTCATCTCCTCTTCACATGATCTCCTCCAGGTCACCCTTGGACGACCAACTCGTCGCTTCCCTTTCGGGTTCCACTCTAGGGCTTGTCTAGTGATGTCACTTGTTGGTTTCCTCAGAGTGTGGCCAATCCATCTCCATTTCTTCCTGCCTATTTGTTTCACAATCGGTAGCGGAGAAATAGCTGTACGCCTAGTTTCACTGCTCAGAAACCTAAGTGGTTACCCCTTAGAAGTACCAATATCTGTTGTGAATTTCCAGTATTCAAAATGATCATGATTAATCTGCTGTTATATTTAAACGCGTTTCACTTTTAGCAGTGACTGAGTAGTATGCAGATATTTGTGATGTAATTCCATCCATGACGTTTAATAAAGTAATTTTACATGAAACATCCACTTGACCGAATGTAAGGGCAAAACTAAACGGTTTGTAAGAACTTGTAAGAAAGTGGTTATGCTATTGATATGCTACACCATAACAACCTTACAAAATATCTAGTATGCCTAATTCGCAGTGTAATCAGTATAATATTTGACTTTTAAGTACTGACAAGAAAACATTAATCAAAAAGACTCAGTTAATTGGAAATGTGTGCTTTATATCCCAGTAGAATAAAAAGTTAAACTAATTTATGGAAATGTTATTAGAAGTCATTTGATGAATATACCTGAACTACATATTCTGGGAGTGAGTTTGTTATCAGCAGAAAGGGACTAGACTCGAATGAGTCCACTCTCAGGCGGTTGTTTGTGCGTTATAACGAAACCAAAGACACTTAGAGCATCCTCAAGTGGGCTAGACTTTGACTCAGTTAATATTAGGTTGATTCCGTTTGACCTATTTATTTCTGGAAGAAAAACAAATTCAGTGAAGAAATATATTCCTTATCAGTTAGTTCCTCATCACTGACTCTACTCCAGTGTATAGTTTGTTTGCATGAAATTTGTAGTAATCATTTGGTTATTTTATTTTCAGCACAACGTCTGAGATCTTCGAAAAGGCCTGCTAAAGTAGGTAAGCTACACCGTTTATTCAACAGCCAAACAACCAATACTCAGTTCGAGAAATAAAGGCGAACTGCCCTGTTTAGCCCATTCTATGTGCACTTACCAGTTTGATTACTTGTTGCTGGAGCTAGTTACATTGAGCATACGACCAGTACTAGGTCTGAAAATTTTTCACATGTTTCATTACTAGCTCATCTCGTCGTTAGTGGACATCAAGTTGACTCTGACGAAGCTTTGGAAGTCATTGAGTGCATTTCACTTAAGCATTCAAATTGCTGTACAACTAAGACTGATACATACAACTGAGGCAATCCGAATTCATTTGAACAGGCTCAGTCTGTGTGTGGCTGCAGATTCTTTTGTTGCTGTGGCCAACAACACAATATGTATTAAGTTTCAAAAATTGATTTCTCGCCTCCTCTTGTAACCACCTTTTTTCTCCGTTTATTTCATTATGATTTCAACTCTGGTTTATTCTGTTAATTTATTGGTTCCTTATCTGATCCCACTGAGTCAACTTTTTCTTTTAGCCAACATTATTTCACAAATTTCTTGATTATGCTATAAACTGTTGATAAACCCTACGAACAAAATGACCTTGAATTCCACATGTATATTCACCACACTCTCGCAGCTTAGTATCTTGTTGGCAGTATCTACTGGTATGTTGTTTTGATGAAGTTTTATTCGTTATTTTGACCTTCCGTAAACATGAAAATGATCACTTTTATTGGCTTAAATGATGACACTATGGGTGTAATTTTTATGTAGAAACTATGTGGAGGCGATGCTGAGGTACTAATTGAAGAGGAATGTACTTCTTTGTTCAACTCGTTGTCTTCCCTAAATGTTTAAATAGGAATTTATTTCAGGCCTGCGTTTAGTTTTGAGTCATGTTTACATAAACCCCGTCTCCTGATAATACAATTCGAATTCATTTTGTTTGTGTTTTTATTGCTTTCGTTCTTGGACAATGTGGAAATATTGAAACTACAGATTTTATGAAGAGGCATTCAGTAAGTTTTCCATTGTGAACTTGTGCAATATGTGACTAAAAAAGACGAAGAAATTCAAAATGGTAGATATGTATTAACGAGAAATGACTTATCGTAACAAAGGTGAAAATTCTAATGGCTACTTTCATTTAAACACACCACTGAGGTTCATAAAAGGAGCATATACTACTGAAAATAAAATGATGATTTTCAAAGATAAGCAGAAAGCCTGGAATATTATTGAGCATAAAACACTTTTAAATGCATTGCAATATCGTAATCTTCTCACCATCAAGAAAATGGCCTACAGCATAAGAAGATTAAGCAGCATCAAATGAATGAAATGTTCAAGTTAAGATAATAATAGTTGTATCACATATATTCCTTCTGCACACATACGATGTGTTCATAATTTGCTAATATACTTGTGCAATGATAGTAAAATATACATGAATTTTTAATGAAAGCATTTTCATCAGTTTTTGATCTGGTTCGCATATAGCTTGACATCATCCCACGAATATGCACTGCCGTGTGTTTTGAGATGAATTTTCTATGAGTAAGAAATGTCAGCATCCTCATATAGTCATAAATTGTACTCATGTCACGTGTTACATCATTCTTTCGCGTACTCTGTTATCATGAGGTGGTCTCATAATTTAGAAACTGAAACAATGAGCAAGAATCCTAAGTGTTGGTATATCGTTTTCCATTTGACTAGTTCCAATTACGCCACTCTTATTTCCAAAAATATTATCAATGGTCTTTCTATTTCCTTCAAGCAGTCCTTATTATATTCTGAACATACACTTCCATTAAGCTATAGTGATTCAAGACTGCAGTACACTTTGCCCGATAATTTGTCAACTTAAAGTGTACGTAATAAAAACTGACAGTGCATTCTTGCTTAAATCTGTTAATATGAACAATAAATTGCAATTATCCCAACATATTTCAGAAACGTATCGGTGCACAGGCAGGTGCATTCAGAACACTGTTGTGTGTCTGTTAGGATTAATCTCTTCTGAATTTGTGCGAACTCATACTTCCTATGATTTTATCTTTCTCTTCGATAAATCGATGATATCGAACTTCCCGCATCCTCAACTGTACAACTAAAATATTATTAAAAATATTTCGTATTCATTACATACTGGATTTTCCTGGATAACATATGATTGAGTATCCATTAGACAGCGGCTAAAATAAATGATCCAAAAGTAGTTGGAACTCTTATCAACTCCGTTCCCATATTGTTCTGTTTCTTATGGGTAGCAATGATTTTCACTGCTGTCCATCTAAACAGTGTGCAATCTGCGTTTTTAAGAAGAATTCATTAGACTTGAGGTACAAGCACAGAATGAATATGTATTCCTTGAATGCTTAATGCAACTCTGAAACTATTCTACAAAAGTATAGGCCTGCGTAATTCATTACTCAACTTTAGATGCCAACCTTCTCTGTAAAAGTTGAATTTTAAGTTGATGGTACACTTCTAGTGAATCAGATCATTCCGGAACGCTGT